GCCATGCCCAAGGTCTCCTGTTGTCCCTCCACAGACACCTTCTCTGACCTCACCATGGCCCGGCAGGGCTATCCCCGCATGGCCTTCTCCGCCTGCTTCGGGGGCATCATCTTCAGTATCCTGTGCATGCCAGGGCCAGGGTGCTGGCACGTGGGGCAGGAGCTGCCCGAGTTCCCCTGGCTACAGCCCAGGGAGAGCCCCTTGTGCTGTGGGATCCCTGGAGAGGAGCTGGGATCCATCCGAGTCCCTCCAATGCTGGCAAAGCCAGCAGTGTTCCCACAGTGCAAAGGGACAGTGAGGGATTTGGGAGGGACAGGGACACAGCCAGAAGCACCCCCCTGTCCCCACAGCTGCCCCAGCCTCAGCTGGGCAGGAGATTGGCTGGGCTGGAGCGTGGCAGATTTGGGATTTGCCAAAGGGTAGGAGGGGAGGGAGCTGTGCCTCACTTGGGTGGGTTTTGGGTGAAGCCTCTCCTCGAGTGCTCAGGGTAGCATTCAGCAGAGAGAGAATGCCTCAGCCATGCAGGAAGGAGGAGGATGGGGGGCAGAGGGATGTCCTCCATGCTGTTGTCCCCTGGAGCTCTCCTGTGCTGTGTGTCCATCCTGAACGTGCTGCAGACATCCTGGTCGGCGTGGGGCTGGGCTGCCTGCTGCAGATGGCCAGCAGCCAGCCGCTGGTGAAGGTAAGGCCACGGTGACACAGTTACACAAGCCAGGCTGGCAGCAGGACACGTTGTCACCCCACATCACCCTCCTGTCCCCACAGCTGGAACCTGACAGCCCCCTGGTGTGGGTGCTGGCCGGGGCGCTGGGGCTGAGCCTGGTGTTCTCCTTGGTGACGGTGCCGGCACAGTGCTTCCAGCTGGGACAGGCCTATGGCGTCTGCCTCATCGCCTACTACCTGCTGTTCCTGTGCGTGGCCCTGCTCACCGAGTTCAGGGTCATCCATTTCTCCACCCCCTGAAGGGCCCCAGGAGCTCCAGCCCTGGAGCTCGCTCTGCCTCCCCTGTCCCTGCCAGGGGACAAGGACAGCTCGACCTCACCGTGCTGCTGGAGGTGCCAGCGCAACCCTCGGGCCCCGCTGTCCTTTGGGGAAGGAGCTGTCAGTGCCCACATCCTCTCCTCGCTCTCTTTAATCCGTGTAATTTAGGGAACTCTGGGCAGGAGCAGCATCAAACCTCAGCTGGGTCGGGGGGCAGGGGCAGGACCAGGGGATGGGGAAGCTGCAGCTCAGGGGCACCGCAGGGAAGGGCACATCCTCAGCTCACCTGCCCCTCCTCAGCTCCATGCCATGCTCTGGGACAGAGCTGGGGCAGTTGTGCTGCACAGGGTGGCACTGCCACAGCCCCGGCATACATCTGTCCTTGGGAAGGACTGTCCTGTTGGCACCGTGGGCTGGAACAGCAGACAGGGCACAGCCAGACAGGGTTCAGGAGACACAGTGCTCCAGGGACGTGTTGGGTTTAGTGCAAGCAAAGCCTGAGGGAAAAACAAACACCAAACCAAGGGAGGCTGGTTTTTCCCCTGCTTTTTTTAGTAATGTTTTTCAACCTGAGTTTCAGATCCTACTTTTCTCCTCCTCCTGGGCTGGGCAGAGCTATAGGAAAGGACTTGGAGGTTTCCACACACAGTGTTGACCTCTGGCAGGACTAGATTTAAGCACTGTAAAAAATTGCAATAAAAAAAAACAAACACAAATACAAACACAACCTTGACTTTTGCCTGCTGCAAGAGCCATTCCTCCTGCTCTGTGCTGGTCTGACTCAGCCCTTACTCAGCACACGCCTTTGGGGCAGAGGGAACAGCCAGGGCTGAGGACCCTGGGACACCCAGAGTGGTTTTTTTCCCGAGGGAGTGGGGAAGTGCTTTCCAGTAGCTGATGTCCCAAGAGCAGTCACGTGCTGTCACACTGTGAACGGGGTCAGCACAGCTCGGTCCCTGGGGACAGGGACTCCTGCAGGGCCCACAGTGCCAGGAGAATGGAGGGGTGGGCTGTGGTTCTGCTCCCAGCTGGAGGATCCACGGAACACGGGCTGGAACAGAGGGACACCCTCATCCCTGCCCCACGGGAGAGGGGGGTGTTGAGCAAACACCACAACTGTCGGACCTGGTTCCTCCTCCTCCTTTCCTCTTGGGCCTGGAGCATTTCTCCTTTTTCTAACAGATACCAGCAGCTTTCACAAAAAAGAACACTCCCTGTGCTCACAGCCATTGGTTCTGCCCCGATCTTGCTCCGGCAGCTGCCGGAACGATCCGGGACACAACGCCCACTTCCTGCCACAGGCAGGGCTACAGCAACCCAAACCCTGGCACGTGTCCCAGGACAGAGGTGCAGGGTCAAACACCCCTTCTGGCCTCAACACTGCACTGGGGCAGCCTTAAAAAACCTGACTTTTAAAGAGTTATCTTAATGTTTAGGGAAAAAGCTGGCAGGGGGAGGCAATAGGGAAGGCAGGCTTTGTAATGTCCTGGAACAGGGATGTGGGGCATGCACACAAAGTATTCCCAACACAAGCACTTGCTATGAGAGAGGGCAGGCAGGCTCCTCTTCAAACACTGGAAATGCTTCAGCTTGGCCAAGCCCACCTCTGGAATAACAGGGGAAGGAGGAAAGGAAGCCTTTACGAAGCCGAGGATGCTCTTTATTAGTGCGCCTGAAAAAATCTAGAGAACATCTGACAGACACGTCCATAAAATCAGGTTTTTTATAAACAAAACGCCAGCATACAAAATCCTGCAGTGCTTCCTCCCGTGCTCCCTACAAAATGATTGTCTCCATTGTCAGTCTGTGTGTGGGGGGAGGGAGAGGAGGATAAATAGAAGGGGATGCCCCGTACTCAAACTTTGTTTCCTTCCAAAGTCATATGGAAGAAGCAAACTGCTGCTGCCCTCCTTGGTTATACAAAAATAATGAACACAGCGGGTATGTGGGGGAGGATCAACACCTTGGAGGCAGCACCCTGACCCCCAGCCCTCCAGGGAGCCCTTTATTGCATGATCAGCCCTCAGTGCCTTCCTCAACACAGCTTAAAGCCACAGCTCCTTTCACACCCAGAAGGAAAAAAAAAAAGTCACTGATAGCCCTGCCAGGAGAAATCGGCTATAGGGGAATGTGGAGATTAACCACAGCCACGTTTTTTTCCCCACGAACCTTCATAATGCTCATTCCTCCTGCCCACAACTTAAAGCACAATAAACACCATCTCCTGCAGCCCCAGGACTAATCTGGATAAACCTCCCGGGCTGCGACTCCACGCAGAGCAACTGCAAGAGCAACAACTGCACTGCTCCTTAATTTGTGGCTGAATTTATGGTTTGGAAAACAGCCCTTTAAGGTCCTTCATGGGTCAGCTCAGAAGTAGTTTCATACCTGCAAGTATGCAGAAAGAAAACAAAAAGTTGCCGTGAGGCACCCAAGGAGTTTGGCAAGGGTTGGGAGCAGCCACTGGTGCGTGTGTGCTGCTCTCCCACTCCTTCCAAGTGCTCCCACCGTGCCATGGAGGGAGAGATTTCCAGAATCAGCTCTGTCTTGCCTCCCCCTGAAAGTCTCACCCACCCAGGAAATGCTCCTGAGCTGGCCAGGGGGGATCAGCCCTCTCCTGCTGTCCTCGTGCCACCAGGTGAGGCCACCAAGGAAAGAGAGGCATGTGGGATAAAGGGGATGGGGACACACACCTGCCTCTGCCTGGAGCACCTGGAGAAGGGGGAAGCCTCCTCAGGAAGCTCCACTCTTAGTCTGAACCTGAGGAAAGATGGAACAGCACGAGGTGAGGGAACCTCCCAGCTGCCAGGGACTTCCAGCCCTCCGAACTTCCTGTGCTGACAGGGAAGAGAGACTTGGAGAGACAGGTTCAAAGGATGGCACAACTGCCACAATCCCACAACCCTGGCAGAGCTGGGAAGGGATCCCTTTTCCCCCTTCCTCCTCATCCCTCAGCTCTCAGGTGCAGAAAAGCAGACAGGTGAGAAGAATCCTTGTCTTCCACGTTCCTCCCGCATCCACAAGCCAGGGGAACACTGGAGCTGTTCAGTGGATCTTCAACACCTGACTGAGCTGAGCTGACCTTTTCCAGCCTGAGAAACATTCCTGCAAGGGAGGAGCCCCACTCTGTGCTGGGACTTGCTCAGCTGGAATGAGGACTGACCAGCAGGACTGTGTGATGCCCAGGAGCTCTGCCTAACCCAGAGCCAGGCAGAAAAAAGCCAGACTTGGAGCGGCAAAACCTTCCACTCTTCTGCCCAGTCATTTATCCCAGCTAAGGACCAGCCAGAGAGGTTTCAGAGAGCAGGTGGCCAAGTGGCAGAGCCCCACAGCCGTGTCACCCTGAGAATCCCCCCTCCCTGAACAGAGACAGGAGCTCTGGGCTTTGCAGAGGTGACCCCAAGCCCAGGCAGTGCCACGGCACGACTGACCTGCAGTGATGCAGAGACAGAGTCTCCAAAGCCCTGCCCCACCTATGGCCATAGCATGATCAGGTGCTGGCCCCTCAGTTCTGCCTCAGAACTGCTTGGGGACAGCAAAATTCAGTATTCAGAGCTGGAGCTACTACAGGAGTGCATCAAGGTGTGCCAAAAAGGAGGGGGAGGGCAGGCTGCCCTTCCAAAAGTGCTGAGATTTCACACCACCTCCCCTTTCTTTGCATAAGGAAGGTGGAGCAGAAACAAAAAGTCACTCCCTGGTCTTTTGTCCCTAGGTTAATGGTACCCTTTGAGCAAGGGATCTTCCAAAAGGGCCGAAGTTTTACTGTTAAGCAGGTGACTTCAGCGAATTCCCTGCTGTTAATGGATTACACATCCCTTTCCCCAAGGTCTGTTAGTGCTAAGACAAGCAGCAGCAGCTGGAGCCTGGGAAGGGGCTCAGAGGGACAAGGGCTCTGCCACGCCCAGATGTGCTGAGCATGGGCATCACGCTCAATCTGTGTGCAGCAGCCTTCCCCCGGGCCTCTGGCTTCTCAGCAACCACTGCTGGGGGCAAGATTTGATCCCTACACTGTACACTACTCAATCTGAGTGCAGCAGCCTTCCCCGAGCCCCCCGGGCCTCTGGCTTCTCAGCAACCACTGCTGGGGGCAAGATTTGATCCCTACACTGTACACTGACAGATCTATATACACCCCCCAAACCCAGGCTGGGGAGGAATACTCTAGGTTATTGCATAGAAGGTGGCTGCGTTAGCTAGGCCTAAATGACAGTCTGGGAGCGCTGCCGGAGGCTCAGGGGCTTCAGGGAGCTGCTGGAAGCAGATGCAGGCTCTGCCAGTGGTGTCTGGGATTCTTCTTTCCTGGAGTGCTCCTCATACCATTCCTGCAGCAGGGGAGTAAAGAGGCAGGGATCAGGCTGTGCCCCACACACCCAAAGGGCAGAGCCTGCTGTCACTGCCATGTGAGGGCTCCTTTTTTCAGGCACAGAGGGCTCTTCCCAAAGCCCTGGGTACAGCCTAAACTGCAACAACCCAGCCAACTGCAGCACAACTGTGCTGGATGCACTGAGACCTTGCCACAGCCCAAGGAAACTTCCCACCCTCAGGATGTCCCTTCTGAACACCCAGGGTTCAGGATGCCTGTTCCCATGATGTCTGGGACTGCAGGGCAGCTCCTGGTGCTGGGCAGCACCCAGGGTGTGCCAGGATGTCACATCCCTCACAGACCAAGCAGAACAGGCAGGAAATTCCTCTGCAGGTGACCCAGCCCCACAGTAAATAATGTGCATTTTCCTTAAGGGGACTCAAGACTCATCCCCCATCTGTCTGCTCTGGGGACAAAGGACACATTCAAATGGTTACAAGATTAATTTTTTCAGCACTAATCATTACATTAGCCCATGACCTTCAACTGCCTTTGGCAGTGACCAAACCCATGGCAGAAAGCTCCTGACCACGGGTGGCCCTGGCAGGAAGGTGCTGAAAACCCAGGGAATCTGCTGATTGAGTTGTCTCCCATCTTGCTCAGCCTGCAGACCAGGCAGGCCTGCCTGGGACAAGCCAGCGTTGGTTTCTGTGTCAGACAGACACACCTAAGCTCAAACACAACCACATTCCAGAGGTTTAAGAGCTCTGTGCTCAGCAGCCAAGCCCTAGGCAGCACCAAACTGTGCTCACAGCCCCAGCAGACACCTGGGGAGCCCAGGGCAGCTCAGCAAAGCAGGAGTGCCTGTGCACACCCCAGTGTGGCTACTGAGACTGGCCTGACACACCTGCACCACTGAGGAGCTCTGACGGGCTCTGTGCTTTAACAAACCCCTGGGCTCAGAGGAAAGCAGTCCCCAGGGCTTGAAAGGATGGGTTGTTATTCCAGGGAATGCTCCCACCACTGACCTGCTGGCAGCTCCAGCTCAGGCCCACATACCTGTATCTCCTCTTCATACATCTTCATACTCAGGTCACTCTTGGTCCTCGACCTGCGTCCCAGGAACACTGTTGACATTTGCTGGAGTTGGGGCAAGGAGGAGGAAACACCAAAAAAGACATTCATCAGTCACTGAGCAGCTGGAACTTCAAGCATCCTTCCTGTGGACACCCATCACCCACTGACGAGCTCAGACCAGCCCAGGCTCCTTCTGCTGTCACCTGAGAGGCTGCAGCACCTGCCCTGTGCCCTGGTGGCACAGGGGTACAATGGCCTTTGTTAAAACAACCACTCCAGCTCTTCCAGTTCTGAGACAAGAGCTCATTTTCCCAGTGTAGAATGTTTCAGAATGGAAGCATAAGCAGTGCCATGAGAAAGGAAGGACCAGGAATCAATGTCATCATGCTGCTGCATAATGCTCCAGGATTGTCCAAGCCTCAGGGCTCCCTGATGGCACAGAGAGATGAGCAGGAGAATTATGAGAGAGTGGCTTCCTTAGAGGAAAAATAAATATGCTTTTTTTTCAGTCAGCAGGGGCCAGGCAGTTCTAAGGGAAGTTTTCAGGCAGCAGGGACCAGACTTTGCCAAGGCTAGGCAAGGAGCAGCTGCTGCTCTTCCAGAGCAGCAAAATTCTGTGATGCTGCAGATTCCCTCCAGCAGCTCAGCCCTGAACACGACACAGGCAGGATCTTCTCTCTCCAGACAGACAGAGAAGCCCTGGCACACCTCCCTCTCCTCAAGGTGAGAACTCACAGGATTTCCTCTTACCCCATATTTGTCCATCTGGAACACAATCTTCTGCAGCTGAGCTGTTTCAGTGGCAGCTGAAGTCCTCTTGTACAGCTCAATTATGCCAATCACCTCCTCCTTGGAGATCTCCTTCTCCAGAACAATGCCATTATCTTCTGGAGAGGCAAGAAAGACAAAGAGGAGAAAAAAAAACTCACCAAGATGAGCATTGCTTCAACAGCTGCTACGATAACCCTGGAAGGCAAAGCCTAAAGCACACAGGACCAAGCCAGAGCTGAGGTACAGGCTGTACCTGCTTTTGTGACTGGAACACGGGTATGCTCAACCCCCAGCAAGGCAGGGAGAAAGTTAACCTGTGTGTAGGGCCAGCAAACCTTCTGACTCAAACTAGTCTCATCAGGCTCCTTGGTATTTAAAAAAAAAAAAAAATAAATCTTGTAGCTTTTTTGTTAGCCTGTAAATTAAGAAATCAAATAATCAAGAGTTTCTGCCTTTTGACCTTCACCTGCCTAAGAGAGCTTGGGAGTCCAGGGCTAACCAATGTCCTTCACTGCTCCCTTCAAACTGGGTGCAGGAAGGATCACAAATGTTTCTCTAATTAACAGCTCCTGAGCCACACAGATTTGATCTTCTGGCACCTAAAACCCCAGGGGGGTGGGCCTTCACCTGAAGGAACAGCAGGAGAAGGGCTGTGAGCCAGGAGTGTGGCTTTGGCCCTGAATTAGCAGGTCAGGAAGGTGCCTGCAGCTCCAGACCCCCCAGCTCAGGAGGAAAAGGACAGTGAGTAAGTGGTGAGGGGGATGCAGAGCCCAGCCTCTGCTGGGCTTTTGACAGCTTTTGCATGTCCAAAACCAGCACAGGGTCAGCAGCTAAGTACAACCAGAAAATGTGGGAAGAACTGGACAGGCAGTGTCTGCTGTCCTCCAGGTCACGGCAAAAACGTGCTGGCAAATCACCTTGGAGACAAATCCTGCCACCAGGGAGTGTATTAGTGAGGAAGGGAAATTGGTTTAAAAAAATTATCAGTCTTCCCTTTCTGCAAGGTCCCTTGTTGAGCTTTGCTACATCACTGCTGCAATGTTTCCTAGAAACCTTGCATGAAATGCACACTGACTTCCCATTTCAAAGAACTTGGTTGAAATGGCTCAAGTGGTTGAAGTTTGTATGTGTGTGTGCACACAGACATATAAAACCCACATAAATACACCCACCATGCTTTTTGGGGAATTCTGGGGGAGAGATGAGGGGCAGAGCAAAAAGACCAGACAGAAATATCACACAAAGAACAAGCTCGAGCAAAAGAACAGCGAGCAAAAGAATTAGCTCAGGATGTCAGGTTAAAAAAAAAATTTAAAAAATCTGTTTTTTCCTGGCCAATCCCATTTTCTCCTAGAGACATGAAGTACCAGGGAGAGAAGACACAAGGCTGCAGGTCAGCCAAGCCTCAGCTCTGACCTTCTGAGTCCTGGTTCTTCCGAGTGTAGTTCATGCGGAACACAAAAGCGTCCAGGATGAAGGCCACGATGATTGTCATCACCACCATGGTCACAATGTAGAAGATCATGAAGTACAGACGGCTCCAGTGAGTGGTTTGGGACGTCACCCCTTCCTAAAGGGGAGAGGGAAGAAGTGAGCAGTGCACAAAAGGAGGGAGAGGCAGTGATAACTGCTTATCAACAGGCACAAAGCAGCATAAACACTCTACCCCAGGGACTGCCTGTGCAATGCTCAATGCCCCAACAGGTCCTTGCAGCTAAAAAGAGATGTTCCTACAGGCAAACACACAGAACATCCAAAGCTGGTGGCTTTGGACCGCAAGGTGACCAACTGGAGCACAGGGTGACTTTATTTGTCCAGCCTGTGAAGCCTGGAACGTGCCCAGCAGCATGGAAGGGGTCAAATGCCCCCCAACAGTCAGGGCCAAAGCTACCTGGCAACAAAGCCACCACGGGAAGAAGGCAGTGGTGGTGTCAAGGTGTGCCTGAGCTGGCAGGCTGTGCTGCCTGCAGGGGTCACTCACCATGATGATGTACCAGTCGTTGACCACCGTCAGCTCAAACAGAGTCACTGCACACAAGAGGGAGAAACACACACAGGTGATTGTTTTATCCATCCTGACCTGCTTCACAGTGACTTTTAGATAAAGTGTTTGACAGGGAAGAGTGACACAAAACAGCCAAGTCTGAATAAAGACATCAAATCCAGAGAGAATTCAGACCCTCCTCACTGAAATTACTTGAGACAAAGGGTCAGACCCACAGAATCAGCAGCATGGCTTCATCTCTGTTTACTAAAGAAACCAGACCTGACTCCTCACCAGAGAGCATGGAGACCTCTGAAATCTCCAGGAGATAAGCATTCTGCTCACACATTACAAAAAACCATGGAGAGCAATCAACACATTCAAATTATTCCTCATCAGAGGGTTTAAAGAGAGGCAATGCTGCTGGTTCTTTAGAAGGGCAGTGCTTTAATGCCCTCCTTGAACACCTCTGGTCTGACCACCAGCCAGAACAGATCTGCTGGCTTCCAGCTGGCTCTGAGAGACCTGTGCTTACCCTGCAAAGCAGTCCTGGCACAATCAGCCAGCTGGAGCTCTCCAGACAAAGAGCAGGATGCTGAGTGAGGAGCATTAGCAGGACTGCCTGGGAGAGTCCCAGGCTCACATGAGCATTACAGCATTACAGAGCCATCCAGCTCTGCAGGAACACAGGATAATCTTTTCTAGGGACAAAAGTGCCCTTACCAAAGCTGTTCAGAATGTTGTCAAAGTTGTTGAGATAGTAATAACCTTCTTCCACAACTGTTTTGTTGCCAACTGTGTGGTTCACCCAGCGGTAGGAATCTGCGACCGTGCTTGTGCTGGTTGGAGAAAACAGGACAAAGAATCAGCAGAGACTGGAAAAGCAAGGAAAATCTAAAAAGTTATAAATACCAGCCCCTCTAGAAGGTGGTAAGAGCAGCAGTTTCTACCTCTTAGCCAATATTTGTCTTTTCCTCTGGAAGGAATCCTCTCTCCTTCAGAGCTCAGCACAAGCCCAGGAATATTTCTAATCATTCAGCAAATATTATACCAGAGAAACTGAGAGTTTGAGTTCCTTGGCTCACACCCTTCAAGCCTGGCATTTCCAACTGGTCTGCCATCACTAAAGGTGAAAAGGGCACAGCACAGCTTAGAGTCCAGGACCAGGTGAATCGATGTTGGGTGAATTTGTTGCTGGACAAGCAACTCTGGCATCACAGAAACAGAATGGTTTGGGTAAGAAAGGACCTTAAAGCTCATCCAGTTCCACCCCCTGCCATGGGCAGGGACACCTTCCACCATCCCAGGCTGCTCCAAGCCCTGTCCAACCTGGCCTTGGACACTTCCAGGCATGGGGCAAGAGAAATGAAGTATCTCCTGGATTTTTGCCACGTGTTGCCTTAGCTACAAAACCCCATTCAGCCCCAGGCCACTTCTCCACAAGGAAATGGAGCTGCCAGAGCTCCCTGCTGCTGGCTGAGCACCAAAAGCACTCTTGAGGGGGCTGGATTTGAGGTACTCACTTGCAGCAGTTCGGGTAGACCACGCCAGCAAAGAACTCCATGCCAACAATGGCAAAGCAATAGTAGAAGATCAGCAGGGTTAAACCCAGGCTGGAGGCAGAAACAGAAAGAGTACTGTGCTGCTGAAGAGTTGCTAAGGCAGGGAAACACAAAATCCTAGGCTGGCTGCTCTGGGAGGAATTTCCAAGGGATGGGAAGCAGCACAGGAAAGCCCAGCCCACCCTCCCTGCTGCTGTGCTCTGCAGCTCTTGGCCTGCTCTCATTCAGGGAGCCCTTGGACAAGGAGTTTGCCACTCACTGGAGAGAGAAACCAAAGAGCAGCCTGGATCCCCTCCCAGCCTGTCCTTTCCTGTTAAATAAACATCTCTCCACAGCTCCTTCAATAAAGAACACCACACACTGTTCCTGCCCTCTCCACATCCTTGCACACAGGGACTGTGCCAAGAGCAGGGCTCTCCAGCCAGCTCAGGCCTCCTGGGAGGGAAGCAGGGCTCAGGAGGAGCACTCAAGCACCACCATTCCACAAAAATGCTCTCAGGGGCTCTGCTGAGGACAGGGAACAGCTGGGGCCAGGGGGATTTGTGCCAATGTTCTTCCCACAGGGGCTTTGTCTCCCAGCAAGAGCTGGGATGGGGGAGAAAAACTAAAAATAACTCTTAGTTATCCTCCTACCACCAAAGCAGGAGGAGCCCAGGGTGCTGGAGTGTTGCTGCTCCAAGGAACTGGAAGAACACTCCACTGGCTGAGAAGAATCAGTAACTACCCACTGAGAGATCAGAGTAGGCTGGACAAGTCCCTGCCCTGACCCTAAACCTTCCCTGCCCTGCCCCCAAACCCTCCCTGCCCTTGGACAGGTCCCTGCCCTGCCCCAGACCCTCCCTGCCCTTGGACAGGTCCCTGCCCTGCCCCCAGACCCTCCCTGCCCTTGGACAGGTCCCTGCCCTGTCCCAGACCCTCCCTGCCCTTGGACAGGTCCCTGCCCTGCCCCAGACCCTCCCTGCCCTCTCCAGGAGCAGAGCTGGTACCTGGCCATGCGAGGGAACAGCTCAAACATGGTGTCCAGCACGTTCCTGTAGCGCTTCTTCAGTTTGAACAGCCTGGAAGGAGAGGCCAGGAGTTACCCACACCCTGCAGCTCTCCTGGTGCCGGGGGAAAGGGCAAAAAGGAGGATCCCAGCTCTCTCTACCTCGCAGGTCAACGACTGTGAGGTTTCCTGACACCTCTCTGCTCTTGTTCAAGTGGTCTCTGCTCACCTTCCTGCTGTCCCATCTAAATGTTTATGACACATTCAACAGGACTGAGGGTCTCAGGGAAAAAAGGCTGTCTTTTTACATGGCATGATGCATAAACAGCTATTTAAAACTCCTAAAAATTGTAAGAACTTACACTAGGCCTGTGTACAGGGTCAGGATTCATTCCTGCTTCCCCCAGAAACAAGCTTTTCTGTGTTTCCCCCATGACCCAATAAAAATTGATGAAACAAAACTACACTGTGCCTGCTAATTTAAGATTTGGCAACCCCATTATCCTTTACAGAGAAACACAGCTGCCAAACAGGCTTTGGCAGGGGAGGAACAGAGAAAACATTTTTTTTTTCCCCTCTTGAGTGTCATGAAGTGTTCTTAAAATTCTCACTGAAGAGCTAAACTACATCAGCTTGTTTTTGATGAAACATTTCACCTCAAATCCCTTCCCCTGTGGCTCTGGAGGTGTTTGTGAAGGTGAGTGCACCTCGGCACGAGAGGGTTAATCAGCCCCAGCTCCCTGAACTGCACAGAGGTGACAGGCCATGGTCTTGCTCAAAGTGTGAGATGCAGGTGGAGCAGGGCAGTACTTCACCCTAGAAAGCAGCATCCCTTGAAAACTCTAATTTCTGGTAATTCAATGAAATTATTAAACTGGCTCAGACCATCTCACCCTGACAGAAAAGCTTTTCTCTGAACAGCATCAGACAATTTAGAGGAGGTGTAAGAACCCCACGAAGGCAGACACAGGATAATCTGCCCCCAGTAAATCCCTTGATCTCTATTAGAGATCAGCTTAAGCTCCAAAGCCCAGGGTTTTCATATCCATCCCAAGTTTTTGTTATCGCTCATTTTGATAACTCAGGCTAATCCCATTACCCCACGCAATTCCTGTTTGCCACGGTCACATTCCCACTGAGCAATCCTTGCCCTCTCCTGCTGAGGAGCTCAGTCCCCAGTGGGACTGATGGAAAACAAGCCTGTTTTGTCCCACCTGCTCTCTGGAATCCCCCCTTCCCAGCCCTTCCCAGCTCACCTCAGCAGCTGCAGGGGTCGCAGGACCACGATGAAGTAAAAGGGCTCCATGTTGAATGCCAGTGCCATGAGCCCCAAAAATGCAAACAGGGTGACTGAGAAGTCAAAGCTGGAAAGAAAAATGAAATAAAATGAATGTAAGAGCAGTGATTTATCAGCAGTGCTTCAGCAGAGATGAGGGGTGGGTGCTGCTCCAGCCTAACAAGATGCACGAGGCCGGGGGCAGAAGAATTGTAACAGCTGCCTGATGGGCTCCTCTCTACAGGCCTGGCTCAGGAGTTGGTGTTTCCACCCCAAAAAGATGAAATGCACTTACAGGTTCCAGCCTGAGGACAGGTACTCCACAGGCCCCAGCCCAGTGGTCTTCAGGAGCAGCTCCACGCCATAGACTGCAACACAAGAGGATCAGGGATGAGCAGCCCCACATGAAAGGCTCGTGGGAAGGCTCATCCCCTCGTGGTGGCTTTAAAGGATTTCAGTTAAGCAGGGGTTTAACAGACCCCACCCATCCTCCTCATTCTCAGTGAGGTGCCAAAGAGACTTTTCCCCTCCAACACATTTCCCTGTGTTCATGGGGATTTCTCTCTGGAGAAGTCTACAAAACAATCCCTGCCAGGCACACCATTGTTCTGGATGGAGGCTCTACACCCAAGGTGAAATTATAACTTCAATTCCCTTCCCAGCTCCTCAGGAAATGACACAGCTCTGTTGGGAGGCATCAGCTTACTTGTGAGGAAGACTATGTAGCTCCACGGGACATTCCTGGAGAAGAAATTCCCTCCTGCAAGACACAAGAACAGCTTTCTCAAGTCCTCCCCTTCTTCCAATCCCCCAGCACCACAGTCAAGCAACAAGCTGTGATGTTTCCTACCTTGCAGCATGAAGGTTTCAACAAGAATCCAAATTCCATTCACAGCCACCACAGTGTCTGGAAAAGAAAGGAAAAGCCCGTAGCAAAACCACTCCTGGATATCCATTTCTCAGGCCAACACAAAGAATACAACACAGACAAGTGGCAGGGTCATTGGTTCCAAGTCAATGAACAAACTGAACTCATAAATTGTGAGTCTTCCCCCATGTCTTTCTCCAGACCTTTAAGAGATGCAGTGCCTTTATGCCTTTATGTTCAAAAAGAGACAAAACTATAAGAAAAAAGAACAAAAAACCCAACACCATAACTGCTGAGTAGAAATAATCACTTAGAAGCCAGCAGGCAGCACCAGGAGGAAGCACTCTTTCTCCTCTAGAGAACAGAAGCACAGATTCCCTGTCTCAGGCAGCTCAGTTGCCAAGCAATCCCTCCAGCAGTGAGGATGCTCACAGCTCCTCGGGAGCAAACAGAATGTGGCTCACTGGGAAGCCACTTCCTCATCCAGCATCCTCCAGCTGCAAGATAAACCCCTCAAGGTTTGGGAGAGCTGATCACCAACCCACCTAAATGCAACAAGCCCCACAGAGGTGCTGTGCAGAGAGCCAGGGAGCCTCTCCAGAATGAGAGCTGCGAGCCCAGGCTGGTGGTACAATGAAGCAGTTCCCCCCCTCCCCACCAAAACTCCAAAATTTGTCCATGAACCACGGCTCAGACCACACCAAGTTTGGGAAGGACGTTGAGAGAAGTTTGAGTGTGTCCAGAGGAGGCAATGTGGGTGGAGAGGAGCTGGGAACACAAACCCTGAGAGGAACCACTGAGGGAGCTCCAGCACACCAGAGCCACAGGAGCAAGGGAGCCAAGCAGATTATTCCTACTCACACATGGCGTACTGGAACACACGGGACTTCACCAGGATGTTGATGCCTGTGTGAAGGAAGGGATGATAAAACAAATGTTTACACCATCCTCCACACCACAGATCCCTCTGTCTTCTCCCTAGAGACATTTTCCATACCAATCCTCAGCACAGAAGCTAAATAGATCAGCAGATGATTAACTTCCACTTTTTGGGAACAAGTTTAAATATCCTTTAGAATTTTAGCAGCAATAAAGTCCTTATCCTTAGACCCCAAGCTGCCCTGTTTGGTCTCTGTGTGCTAATTCTGGGGTGGATAGAGGTAAATGCTCTGTGTTTGGAACAACAAGGAGGGTTGGGAACATCAGCAGAGCTCTGAGGCTCCTGTGGTAGCTGTGTTTGGATCAGAGGGTGTCAGCTCTTCCCCAGGAACACACACCACCTCAGAAGAGCTGCAGGTTCTTAATTCTGAACGGCGACATCCAGCCAGGGAACTTGGGACACAGGAGGTAAATTGGCAAGTCATGATCTGATGGGGGTTTCAGGCCTCTCTTTTCCCTTCCCAAACTGCTGTCTTTGACCTGAATGGGACCAGGCAGCCTAAGAGCTTTTGTGACAACCCAAATCCCACTCCACAGTCACTGCAGGAATATTTACAGGACAGAAATCCTCCCTGGAGGATCCTGGAGACTCTCAATCCAAGTCTCTGGCCTCAGAGGCTCTGGGTACCCATGGAGCTGGTTAGAAGGCCTTCCCTCAGCTGTTTGCCAGGGACACAAGAGAAAGTCCCTTCAGAGTGTCCTGTCTTTGTAAGGAATGCTCTTGCTGCCAGCTGAACCAATGAAAAGAGTGTGTTACCTTTGAAAATAAGGAACGCAGTCCTTCTTGCTGCCAGCTGAACCCATGCTGCCATGAAAAGAGTGTGTTACCTTTGAAAATAAGGAACGCAGTCCGAGGCAGGTCATCAAACCAGTGCTCGCGGTTCCGTTTGGCCTGGAAGCAGAACAGCCACGGGCAGCAGCAGCCAGAGCCACATCCATGCAAAAAAAAGGGCAGGGATGGAGTTCCACCCTACCCCCATCACCTCCTTCCCTTAGATTGCCGTTGTTTCTCACCCAGCTCCTCTCTAACCACTCCTTTTCTCTCCCTCCCACACACGGCTTCCTTCCTCTGCACCCAACAAACTCTTACCTTCCATTTTAAGCCAACAACTTCATAGAAATTGTAAAAATCCTTTAGACTGCAAAACAGAAAGAAACATCTGATCAGAGCCTTGAGGGTGAGCAGATCCTTAATTGTCCCTGTCAGACACCAGCAGTGGAGAGTCCCTGGAAGTGATTAACTCCTTATCAGAACTGCAGCCACAGCTGACAGGACTCAGCAGTGACCTCTTCCCAGCCTGGCCAAAGGTTCCTGATTGACAATAGCCAGAATCTCCTTTCTGTAATGCTTCAGCCCTTAAGGGAAGCTCTGACTCTGCTGAACTCCAGAGCTGTACCACTGAGAGGAAAGACCTGAGGCTTAGATGCCAGCTCCAAGGGATGGAGATTGCACTGCTCTTCATGAAGAAGTCTTGGACTGGCTTAATTACTCGTACAGTCCTTTTCTAACATCTTTGCACATTTTCTTTTCAAGGTAAAAATGAAGTTTGAAAAAGGACATGAAAGCAAAGAAACTCATAGAACATGAGTGCCTGTCTGGGTGCCCAGGGTCAGGCCTGTAACAGCTTTTATGTGTCTGGAAGTGAGGATGCTGAACTTCTCAGACTCTTACTGGTGACATCGGTGCCTAAATTTCACAACTCAGTCCTTCTCCCTGTGCCATTTTCAATACTTCTCTGTGGCACTTGACTTCAAGGAGAAACATCAGCACCAGTTTCACAGGAGACTCACTTGGAACCTGTCTGTGGCCAGAACAAAGGAAAAGGAAGAGAAGGTCTCCTGCTCTAATTCCCTCTAGTGCCTTGCTGGCTGGAGTTAGCTGCACCCACCCCCAACCAGAATGGCAATTCTCTGCCTCATAACACAGAGGATGGCAGCCCTGAAAGCACCAGCAGAACCAAATTTTAATTAACAAAACCCTGGGGGGGACAGCCAGCTGCTGGAAAAAAGCAAAAACTTGTAAAGCTGCGAGGCTGCGCTGCGTGAGGAAATGCTCCTGGCAGGCTCCAGAAGTCCCCAGCTCCTGCCTCTGCTCTGCCAGGGCAGAGGGAAGCAGCTCCTGCCTGTGAGTGCCAGCAGTGCTGTATCCACAAGAGGGCACGCAGCGACTCCAGCACCTCGGCTCTCAGGGTACCCACCCCTCCCAGCTCCCTGCTTCCCACAAAAACCCTTCCCATCCCAGAACACTCATTCCATAGAGCCAGCCATCCTCCCCAAAGCACAGCAAGCTCCCTGCCCTGGGTGCAGCAGCAGGAGCATCCTACCTGACTAAAGGGGTATTGCTCTGATTCAGTGCTTTGAAGGTGAGATATCTCTCCCTGGCACACATCCGGGGCTTGTAGAACCGCAGCAGCCCTTCAAAGTGCTTGAAGGAAATTCCAGACGGCCTCTGGAAACAAAGGAATGCTGTCAGAAGCAGCAGCATCAGGCAGGAATGCACAGAGGCTTTTAGTTCTCACTCTGGATTTGTTCTGAGCAGGATTTCATACGTTGTAACTGAGCCCCCTAAGCACCCTGAGCTAATACTTTCACACACCAAGCTCATCCCAGGGCACAGAGATCAGAAAGCCTTTCTGGCAATGGGTCCCTCCAGCAAATGCAAAACTGTTCCCTCATGCCCCATCACCTGAAAATTGTCCAACCAGACACCGCAAGCAGAGTTCAACCCCTCTTCTTGGGAAATTAGCAGGCAGCCTAACAGATCCCATCATGGCACTTTTTAAAGATCATCAGCTATGTGCACTAAACATGAACTAATCTATTACAAGTGGGTTAGTTATTTTTGGGTCTTATTTCTCTTGCTGCTCCAACAAGTTAAGCAAGAAATCAAGCTTCCTCCTCACAGTGTTTGTCCCTGTAAAAAGCTGTTTGTAGGTGAATTCCTCCTCTTTCTGCACTGCTCACTTGTGCAGGATCTAGAAAATGGATTGTATCTTCAATTGTATGACCCACCCCTCCTCCCAGTAGTGATGCCTGGTAAGCCAAACAAGTCCTTAAGTGACCCAGACTGATTCAGAGAGAAATCAATGATCACATGCAGTCCAGCACAGATCTCCCTCGTTTTACCAAGCCACAACCTCACGCAGGGCTGAAATTCAGAGCACTCTGCTTTTTCTCCACAAACAGAGGTGAACATGAATGAAAAAGCCACCAGCCCATGGTGAGCCTGATCACAATCAAGAGAGAGAGAAGCCCTATTTTTGGAGGTGCTGTTTCAGCAGCCAGCCCAGCTGTACCTGTTTGGTGACCAGCAGCCGGTACGCGTGCTGGATGGCCGTGCGCTTGTGCAGCAGCAGGGACTTGAACTTCCTCTTCTCAATGTCATTGAAAGTGTCAAACACGACAGCCAGAAGCTGAGAAGACAGGGGGAAAAAAAAAAAAAAGTGTTGTTCTCACCTTTATACTCTGGAGGGTTTCAGGGAAGCAAGGAGAGGCACTGCCTGCAGCAGGAATGCTGATGGAGGCAGGAGGGAGTCAGTGAGGTCCCACTGGCACAAGGGATCCCACAAAGGGATCCCCAGGCTCTGATCCACTTTTTGGAGGAGGTCCAGATGTTTCTGGCCTCTCAACACTTGCTAGAGGGTTTTAAGGGCTACACAAATGCCAGCAGAAATAATATCAAAAGATATAGTAAAATGCCCTGATCTGTTCCTGGAAAGCAGGGTTTGGGATCCCTGGATCCACCCTTCCTGGGAGCTTTGGCTAACACATAGCAAGCTGACCCTCCATCTGGGAAGGCAGTGAAATCCAACCACAAGCATCAAATCCCTCACCTTGGGCTGCAGAATTCCTCAGCTCCTTTGGCAAGACCTTTTCCAGCACTGACATCCTCCCCTGGGCAGCTGTGCTCTCACTCTGCAGTGATCAGCACTGCAGTCCTGCCATCCTGAGTAATTCCATCCCCTTCAAACTGATTTACAAAGTATTTCGGGCAAGTCCAGATAATAAAATGCCATTTTATGATAAATAATTAAGACAGAGAAGGATAATAAATTTCATGCAACTGAGTACGTCACTCCAAGCACGATATTAATGGGAGAGTAGTTGAAAGATGCTCATATAATTTGGTTTTCCGTGATTTAGTTCAATTCCTCGTGGTTAGACATTAAAAAAGTTCTATCTGTAGCCAAGCTGCCATTTCTAGAAGTGTTCTGCCAAAGGGTCTGAGATGATTGCAGAGCAGTTCTGGGAATGGGGAAGACTCTGCTGAGCAATGAGCTCCAAGAGCAGGCAGAGGGAAGGGAAGGGAAGGGAAGGGAAGGGAAGGGAAGGGAAGGGAAGGGAAGGGCTCCCCTGGGGACTCACCAAGTTCATGATGAAGTAGAGCTCGATGGAGAGGTACACGATGAAGAAGACACAGGACCAGGGGTTGCGGGCGTAGGATGGCATCATCACATCAGGGAAACTGCAGCCCAAAGGACACAGGGGTGAACACCAAAACCTCATGGTACACAGCCCACTGCACAGGCAGCAGCCACAGGGAGGAGGGGGGTGTGTATGAACTCTCATCTAAAGATCTGCACACTTGTACAAAACTCGTGGAAAAAAAAGAAATGTGACAAGCACATTCCTCACACAGCCCAAATGCAGCCATGATATTTTCTGAAAAATCCTTTTGCCAGGATTTTTCTCCTGAGGAGCTGAGGAGCCTCAGGAAAGAAATGTAAACAATAACTATCTGCTGCTGTGGAATGCAACAGGTGCATCTGTGATTGTTTCTAATTAATGGCCAATCACAGTCAGGTGGCTCAGACTCCCTGGGAGTCACGAGCTTTTGTTATCATTCATTCCTCTCCTGTCCTTGCTAGCCTTCTGATGGATCCTTTCTCTCTATTCTTTTAGTATAGTTTTTAGTATAACATTTTAATATAATATAATATCATAATATAATAAATCAGCCTTCTGAAACATGGAGTCAAGATTCTCCTCTCTTCTCTCGTCCTGGCACCCTCGAACACAACCATACCCGAACACCAAATGGGATTTGTGGGGTGGTTAAGGGCTATGCTTTGACACTTAACAACAGCAGTACAGCCTCAGTGCAGGTGTTACAACCTCAGATTTCTTCCATCCTTTGCTAATTTCCTAATCCCCAGGGCTCTCCCTGACAGCAGATCAATATTTACTCACTGCTGTTATCCCAATTTCCCAGCAGACAGGTGAACTGCAGCACAGGAATAGGAAGTTACTTCTCAGCTGTGAGCTGTTGGCTGACAAAGGAGCACAAACACACGTTTTCCCTCCTTGGACCAAGGCCTAACAAAGCTGTTTCCCCCTTAACTGCCCTCTCAGTGATGAAGACATCTGAGTCCTTAGAGATAACTCTGCAGCTGATGCCACAGTGTCCTCAAGTAAAATGAAATACCAGCTCTTCCCATGCAGGCTGACCCTGGACATCTCTCTCTCTCAGGCAGAGGAAAGGGGTCACACATTTGGAGACAGAGCATTTCTGCAGATAAACTCTTGGCTCTGCCAGACTCCTTTGGGACAAAGGGAAAGACTGAGATAGAAGAGCATGAACTTACTTTGAAGTGGTCAAAAGCACAAAGAGATTCACCAGGCTGTTCTCTAAGGTACTGAAGTACTGAAAGAAAAAATTCCCATGACAAAATGCAAGCAGGAACTCACAGGGACATTCTGTTCTAAGAAACAACCAGTCCCCCACCTCTTTGGACAGAGGCACTCCCACAATTCCCTGATGCCTTCCCTAGGGAAAAGTACTTCAGCACTTTTAAAGTTCCCTGGGAAATGGTGTGTGAAGGGTTAAGCCAAAAGCACATTTTTATTAACACTTTCTCCCAGGCAGCCACACAGCCTGGGCAGCAGAAGGAACCAGTGGCTGCTGGACTCTGACCACAGCAGTGGAAGTGGCTGAGCTTTGCCCCAGACACCCCCTCCCCTGGGGACAGTGGCTCTTTTGGCTGAATGAAGGCACCAAGAACAAGGAACAACTCTGAGAATGCTCCCTTTGGGACATCCTCTCTTGGAGGAAGTTCCTTCCACAGTCTTCCTCCCCACAGAGGGTAAAGCAGGGTGACACTGCCAGGAGCAGTTTGGTCCCACACAGAATAAACCATAAATGCACTGTAATGTTGAATTCTTAATGCAAAAAAAATCAAGATACTCACTGGATCGGAGTGGTTAGGAGAAAACAAGTAAAAACCTGAAGAGGCAACAGAGAAAATAGAGGACGAGAGAAAGGAGAAAGAACAAAAAAAAACCAAGTCAGGTCAATGTCGAGCAGTGGAGCAGTTCCCAAAGGGAAGGTGCCACTAACAGCAAATCCTCTCTGACACCCTGAGGATGGGAGCATCTGGCAAACTTTCTCCACAGAGATTTGCCAGTAGATGTCATTGGCATTTCACTGCTCCTTTTGCAAAATAAACTTTCTGGGGATGGTTTGGGCTGTAGCAGGTGCACTCCAGACACATGCATTTGTGGGGATGCAGATTAAAGTGTCAGCATGGAAGAAGAGCTGGTGGAAGCAGAGCTTGAAAACACACACCACTGACTGTGCTCTGGAAGAGGTTAAAAGGACTTTTGTCTCAAAATTAAATACCCAACCTTCAGATTTTTTGGATGTTTTAACTCTGCCTTCCAGATGACTGCAGATGAAATGGGATAAGTGGAAGATCCTGGCAACACTTTGGGCCTGATCAGCTTTATATTGATCCAGGCTGCTCATGTTGCTTTTGGACAATCACTGGTTAAGAGCATCACTTCTCCACCCATAAATACAACTCACCCAGAATAGCAAAAATCACCATGAAGAAAAGCAGGAGGAGAAGGATGTCAATAAATGGTGGGAGGGACTGGAAGATCTGTCGCAGATTTCTGAAAAATAAGAAAACATTAATAAACTAAAATTTGCACATTTACTCCTCCACGTTGTCAGGGGAAATAAAAAAACCCACCACCACCACCCCACACTTGAGGGCTTTCTTCCCACTCCCTCCAAGGATTAAAAGTAGAAAGCTTGCTAAATCAGGATCACTTCCAAGCTACCCATCTGTCCTGTGCAGTCAGCTCTCAGGTACTGCAAACAACACTCATGTCACACTCTCAGCTCTCCTCCTGCAGACTGAAGACCAGCCCTGATTCACTGGGCAGTTTCCAGGCCAGCCCAGGAGCAGAGCCAGGGCAGCCACACCCTGTGCTGGTCTCTCTGAGGTGCTTTACACACCCAAGCCCTGTGCACCATGAGCACATCCACATTTAGCTCACAGTGGAACCATCTCCAACACAAATGTCAGTGAAAGACACTGACTTTCCTGGGATGCTTGCAAGATTTTGTTGGAATGAGTGAAATATGAGCCTCTCTGAGTCCCTCAGAGAGAGAAAGGAATGCAGGGATTAAACTGGAACCTTTAGAGAAAATGAAATATATTAAGCCACACAGAAATGGAGTAAAAGTGTAAGTTTTAGTTTTAAGTAAGTAGAAATATGTCTTAAGTGCCTTAAGAGACTGTGTTAGCTAGTAAAAGCCCTAAAGCCTAGTTTAAAGTTCAGTAGTGTTACCTTTCACAAAATTAACCTAGCTCCAGACATAATGAAAACATAGCAGAACATTGCTTGCATTTCTGGACAGAACAGACAGAACTATTTGCATGAACAGACAGAACTCCATGTGTAGATTTCGGGTAAGAACTGACACTACTTTCACACACTAGAATCAAGCTCGGGTAGGTGCAGGAAGAATGTTTTAGAACCGTGTTTTTAGCTGATTGGATGATTTATGAATAAAATCTCCCTGTACTGGGGTGCAAAGGAGAAGAAGAAAAGAAGGGATAGTAGCTGCTAGCTGCTGCTCAGAACACCAGCACTCTATGGCAGGAAGCTTTTAGCACAGACTTCAACCCTCTGGACTCTTCGAGGCTGATGTATTCACACAATAAACAACTTTACAACAACCACAACAGCTCCAGTCTCTTTGAAGACCCAAGACCCACGCCCAACTCGACAGGATGCGAGTGCTTTCCCTCCAGCCCAGCCCCAGGAGTGAGGGCAGAGCCCCAGGAGTGAGGGCAGAGCCCCAGGCAGCCCAGCATCACCTTCTGACAGCCCCACAGTAGCGGCAGTCCACGAGGAAGATGCAGCGCAGGGCGCGGGTGATGCGCACGTGCGAGGTCTGGCGCACCAGCACTACGATGGCCTCGATGAACTGCACCAACAGCACACACGTCTGCAAGAAACGGGGGATCAGAGGCAAAGCTCTGCCTCACCACCTGTTTATCTACACATTTGAAGGATGGGAGTGTCCCTGAGAGTGGAGGGATCTGGCACGAATCATCTGGCAGCTGGGACATAGCGGCTACGTCACCCTGCTGCGGGGCAGGCCAGTATTTCATCTGGCTCTTTGGTTCTTGGAGGTGCTAAAGGAGAAACCCTGACAATCAAGCAGACAACTCACCTTGACCATAGTCCTTTTGTGCCTGATAAAGGTTTGGAAGCCCAGCCACCTCATCTTCATGGAGAGCTCGAAGACGACCACGATTAACGCAAACAGCTCCAGGGTAGCGTGGACCTGCCGCGGCACAGGGCTGGTGAGAACAGCAGCACAGCACAGGCCACACTCCTGCCCCTCCTTTTCCAAGGAGCTGCTGGGTTTGACAGCAGTCTGAGCATGGCCTTGTGGCATGCAGGAAAACCCCAAGCCACTCTTTTACAGCCAACATAGCGGTGTTTCTCAAAGTTTCTGTATCTACTGCTTTGTGTTTTTATTAAAGCCTGTGCAATTTGCCTCTAAGTAGTACCAGGCCAGAATTTCCTGAAGTCCATGTCCCTTCTGGGCTTGAGCAACATGGGAAAAATCTTATTGATACACTTGAAACAAAAGGCAAAGATATCAACAACTTGAGCAGAAGCACTTTGAAAAAAATATGGAGACTGTAATTTTTTTAGTGGAACACTGCAAGGAGAGCTTCCGGGCAGAGAGAGTTTATACAGAGAAGGGTTTTTCCTTGAATTAGACATTCTGGACAATCACAGGGAAAGTCCTGATCTGTGTTCTAGAACCAGTGGTGGTGCTGGAGTAATGGCACCAGCCCTGACAACAGCTTTGAAACCAGCCCATCAAAGCCCACAGACTGCTGAGTTATCTCATGAAAAAGGAAAATCCCACCCATTTCTGTTACTGAACGAAGAACTGCACAAACTGATGGCACAAAATGAGTACCACTTTCATTGTGGTCTGCCTGGATCCGATGGAAAAAGGAAGTTTTGCTGTCTGGCCCATCCGCTGTCAACCATTTACAGAACAAACCAGGTGGATTTTTTTTTCCTCTTAGTGCCTCCTCCTTCCTCTCTGTTTGGCCATCATTTTCCTCTTACCCAGGCTGCAGAGCAAGCAGCCTTTGCCATTTAGGGCCAGGTACTCACAAAGATGCCCAGGCGGAGCATGGGGACGGCGGGAGCCTCGCACAGGGACAGCAGCAGCAGCAGCAGGGCCGTGCTCAGCTCCATCAGGTAGAAAAGGTGGTTGTGTGCAAAGAGGTAGGCAGCGAGTGCTTTGGCATTTTTGGGGTGAGTGAAGAACTTGTCATTATTTTCTCCTTCCTAGGGCAGCAGGAATAAAGAAGGGAACAGCATTAGTGACTCTTGGTACTATAAAGAGTGAAGAATGCAGATTTTTATAGGGATGAAATACAATTCCCAACAGACTATTCCCATTTACAGCCTGTCGTTGATGTGTTTATTGAGGAATGGACTCTACACACACAAGGGACATCCCCTTCTGCTCATAACTACATTTCAGCAATGAAACTCTTTAATATCCACAAACTCCTGCTTCAGAAACCCCTGAGCCTTTTCACAATGAGGCAGAGAGCTGGGAGAGTTTGTAAAGGCAGGCAAAGAAACTTCAGCCAACATCCCAACACAAACACAGCACTTCATTTACTTGCAACTACTTCCACATGTTTACAGACTTATTTGATTAAACTTCTCCAGGACAGAACAGGAAAACACCCAGATAAGCTCCAGGGCACCTAGCTGACAGTTGTTCCTCCTTATCTTGGCCTTGCAAAATGTCTGGGAGAAAACACTGGAGCACACACAGTGTTTTCTGCTTCAGGAATGTAAGACAGACTCCACGAAAAATTAACAAGTCTCTATGCTGATTTGTCATTCCCTCTTAACTAGAAAGCTTAATTAACATTAAAAGGTCAGATACTCCATCTTAACATTTTGCCTACAACTGATTTTCAAACAGCTACATCGTGACTATTTTTACCCCTAGGATGAAACTTCTTTTGGGGAGATTTTAGAGGGTTTTCATCAGAACCACCCAACAGCTTCTTCTCTTTCTTGAGTCAACAGTTTGGGCAAGGGAGCTTTTGTCACTCACAGGAAACTTGCTGCCTCTTGGGAACTGTCATAAGAGATCACTTTTCCCCAGCAGGGCCACACAGATGCACAAGAAGTGGTGAGATTTTATTTAAATTAACATCTTCCCAGGCAGGCAATTACTGCAAGGACAGTCAAGCTATTACTATCAAAGCAGAATAGCTGTGATTGCAAAGGGATAACGAGCTCAAGGAACTCTCCTTTAGGAAGTGAAGCACTCTCCAGACTCGCTCAGGAGAGGGTTCCCAATGTTTCTCACTTACTCCAGCTCACAGAGGGTCTCAGTACAAACACTGCTGGGTCAGAGAGCCAGGCTGGAGCAGGACAGAGCCAGCCCTGCACAGAGCCCAGGCTGAGATCAGCAGGGTCGTTCCCATCCACCCTGGCAGGACACACTTGTGGAATGACAAACAGGCTAAATCCTGCCTCCTGGGAGCCAAGCAATTCCAAACGTGCCTGGACAGCAAAGCCCTCTTATCCAGACCCAACACTTGCCTGCAGCCACTGCTCACTAAACTCTTTAACTGATTCTACCTCATTTCAAGGACAGTGTCACCGTGGCCAATGGTCAAGGCAGCAGCAGCAATCATCCCCATCCGAAGGGCCAGGCTTGCTGTGCTCATCACCATCAGAGCTGCAGCAGCTCAATGACCCTTTGCAGAGCTGCTCCAATAATCAGGAGTTTAAACAAAAGCCTGGGATGGAGGCTGGAGCCACCCTGCTGAAGTCAGGGCTGCTCCAGCACACCACGGAGCTCAAGTGTTGTCAAGGTCCAGCCTACACTGTTTTAAAATATCTGAGAAGTGAGATTTCTCAGTCCTGTGGGGTCAGAGCACGGAGGAACAAATGGCTTCTGTCATTTTGCAGTGGCTTAAACAAAAAAAAAAAACCTCTACTGGGTCCAAAGCACCTCAGAGCTTTGGAAGGGAACGAAGAGAAGGAAGAACGGACAGTAATGGGAACCACAACCATTTCAGACTGGACAGCTCTGGGAGAAGCTCAGTTTTGGTGGCTAATTCCTCACACCAGATGTACAGCAACCTTAAAAAAGCAAACCCTTTGTTGCTGTAAGGATGGTGTTTCTGGTAACTGAAGCATGGGTGGGGTTTGATTCTTCGTTGTTTAAAATACTATGAATTTCACTCCTGGGCTGATCCTAATCCCAGCAACCTTTAATCCTGTATAAATCAAGAGCTCTGCTTTCTCTCATGTCTCACATGATCTGCAGGACTTGACTGACACTAACTGGGCCACCCCATGGCCCAGGCAGATTTGGGATCTGCACTTCCCGACCAGGAGAGCAGTGACCATTCCCCCTGGAGCGAGTGCAGACATGAAATGACAATCTGTGACCAGCTACAGAAACCTCCACGCCAAGGTGGCAGAACTGTGCATGTGCTGAACCCCCAGCCAGCACAGTCCTTGGGAAAGGATGGGTTTTTGTTGTTAGTTGCCCCAAATGACTTCCAAAGCCTATCTGGAGATGCCTCCAGCAATGCCCCACTCCCGAAGCAGAATCCCTGGCAAGGCACCCAGTTTTCAGCCTCAGAACAGAAGCTGTTTGTTTAACATGGCCAAGAACCAGCGTAGCTCCTGCAGAGCATTCTCCCCCCGTGCAGCAGGGCTCACCTGGAGGTAGATGGCTGCCTCTTGGTAGTTCATCTCCCAGTTGTGGCGGGCAGAGCTCTGCTGGGCGCAGCACTCCCTGGCCGCGGGGCTGGAGGCATCACTGACCACGTCATAGCTGCCTCCATCTGCAGCACAGAAACAGGGATCAGCCATCAGGGGTGCAGCAGGAGGCTCTGGGATCACAGACAGCCAGAGCAGCTGGGAAAGTGGCAGCTGCACACTGACAAATTGACTCTTGGCAGGTAGGAGCTTTAAAGAGACGCTCAAACCCAGCACTTGCACAGGGGAACGCTCCTGGAAGATCATCAGAAGAGACAGCTTCCTACTCAGTGCAGCAAGCAGCTCTCCTGGCTCAGAGCTGTGTGCTGTCATGCCTGAAGCTTGCTATCAACATCACAAACCACAGGCAGGCAGGTAACAGCCAGCAGCCTCCCAGGATGGCCAGCCCGGGGAAGAGAAGAGCGTTTGCTGACGGAGCAGGAAGCTTTTGCACATGTCCTTGGAGCAGAGGCCATGGAAGGATGGACACAGCCCCTGCCAGGGGGCACCAGTGTGAGGAGAGAAGCTGTCAGTACTTTGAGTAGAAAGCCCCATTTCTCCCAGCACTTCAGAGTCACTGAATAACACATCAACACTCTGAGGTGCTGATAAGTACCGACACCCCTCTGATGCAAACAAAGTGCAAGATGAATTTTCTGTTCACACTCCACACATTAATTCTGAAATTTCTGTGTGCCTGTCCTTCTCACCAGCAAAAAACTACAGAACAATGCCATACTGAAGTGTGAACCAGATTTTGTAAATAAAGATTTTGTTTAAAAAACCCAAAACAATTCAATTGCAAAAAAACAACTCCCACACAGAGCTACACATACACAGTGCCCTTCCCACAGGAGAGTTATACAGGGCATGTATGTAAACTCCAAAATAATTGCCATTTTTGCATTCTGCAGCCTCAGTGCTATTAAGACAGATGAAAACTAAGCAAGAAAACAATTATTGTAAAAAAAAGGAATGTCCCTTGGTTTCTTCTTCTGGGACTGGGGGTTTTATTTTACCTTTGACAAAGAATACTGAGCAGAGAACCCCCAGCAGTGAGACCTGCTTAGGGCCTGTGGTGGAGCTAGCCACACTCTCAGTTCTCCCGAGTTTCAAACATTTCCCACATCACATGGCTGTTCCTGCTCTCAGAAGAGACTTCCCTCCTCCAGTGCCTCATGTTCCCGAAGTGGGTACATGTAAAATTGAGCTTGCCAGCACAGCAGTGCTGATTTCCCCCTTTTTTTATGAGCACAGGAGCTGTGGCGTGGCAGCTTGTTCTCCCCGTGTTCAAAGCTGTTATCTGCGAGTGGGCAAAAAGCACCACGAGGTTCTCTTCCCTTCTCATGACAGCCTGCTGAAGATTTGCTGTGACAAAATAATCCTGGATGAATTACTGATTCAGTCTCTCCAGAACACCCTCTGGAGTGGAGAGGGAGCCCATGCCAAAAACTCTGCACCCGCCAAGAGAAATGGCACCATGTGCTCCTGGCAGAGGCAGGGAGTGGGAAGGAATCAGAGCCCCTTCACCAGTGCACAGCCACAGCTGCCTCTCCCACCCCCAAATCAAATGAAGATAACATTTCTCTGGGGTTTGTGACGACCTTCCAGATTGCACACTCAGGTTGCTGAGCATTCTGCAGCACGAAGCCTGTTTCTCTTCCTTGCTTCCCCCACACCCTTAAAATACCACTCAAAATCTGGACAAATGTTTGAATGAGGCCGGTTCCTCCCCCACACCCCTTGATTTAGCACAGCTCCTGAAAAAAAAAACCTGAATGATGGAGTTTTTATTTATCCACGGAGCTGGAATGGCAGCCTTCTGGTTTGTCTGCTTTTTAACTAAGAGATGACAGCCATATGCAAAAATCAGAAGCGTTATATTGCAAGCTCTAAAAAGTTCTTAAATGCTATTATTTAGAAAGCTTTTACTGGGGATGTGTCTCAAAAAGACAGACTCCCCCAAACTGCAGCCTGAGAGCAAAACCTTTTCACATTTGGTGCTTAACAGTTAGAGGAGGAGCATATCTTAATCAGAACCTGGACTTTACATTACCGAATATACAAAATGTACGAGGACCAAAACACACTGTGACCAAAACAGCAATGGTTTGTAGCATTAACCTAAACACCAACACACTGGACCTTGCCCAAAGATGCCAAAATCACCTTTAACCCTGAAGCAGCTCTTTTGCAAAAATTAGCCTCTCTGGAAAGGATCAACACCAGGAAAAGACACACCCCAGCAAAACCCATGACAGGACCCTGCTCTGTGCTTCCCACAGGAGAGCTGTCCCAGCTCTGAGACCAAGGTTGCAAATACAAAACAGCACTCAGAGATGCAAATCAGAACCAAAAAACAGCTCTAGAAATCAAGATGCTTTCCTGCTGTCTAAACCAGGCACAGACAACAGAAAATGCACTCAAGTGTTCCGATGGGGAGCTGCATTTTGTGGATCAGCTCCTTCCCCATCAGGTACCAGAAGGTTGATCTAGCATCCCTGAGGCAACAGCATCATCTGGGTCATAAATAATAATAAAAATAATAATAAATTTGAAGAGCAGCCCTCTGACTGTGTGCTTGGCAGCCCTCCAGCGAGCTAATTTCCTCAGCTGCTCCCATGATAACAATGACACAGACTAATGCAAGCTCGGCTCCGCTCGTGCTGCACAACATCCCCGACGGCGTTTACCATCAGTATGGAGCTCAATGAGATAGGAGGATCTCTCCACAGGGCTCCCGGGATCCTCGAGGTAGATGGCAGGCAGCTCTCTCCACTGCATGGCAGCCGCTGGCGCTCGCAGCTCCTGCCTCCCTTCCCAAAGCTGCTCCTCGCTCTCGCAGCTTCCTGGGGGAAAGCTCCGCACAAAAGACTCCGCTCTGCTGCCTGCAGAAGTGAGCGGCTTCTCCCCTCCCCTCTGAGGAAGGTGGCTCAGACCTCAGTGAGATCCCTTCCCTGGGTGTTTCCCGGGGTGAGATTTTGGAAGGTTTAGCTGCAGGACGAGGAGCTGCCAGGCACAAGCGTGCTGGCGAAGCGGGGATTCGTGTGCTGCGCTCTCGTGTTTTGGCATTTAGCACAACTTGCTCACGATGAGCTAACGGGAGAGGAGTCAAAGTGCTGAGCAGGCACAGCAAGGAATCTCCAGCACGAAAAAGAAAACAGATATTTGGTGAAGTTTGCAGCGCAAGGGGCACGCCAAAGGAAGAGAACTGAGCCGGTCACAGATGGCAAAGCTTCCTTCCTTACACTTGTGTAACTTATCCCAGTCGTTCCCTGAAAACAGAGAGGCAGGGAGGGAGGGAAAAACGAAAAGGGGGGGGGGGGGGGGGGAGGAAAAAAAAAAAAAAGGGGGGGGGGGGGGAAAGGAAAAAAAAAAAAAAAAAGGAAAAGCAAAACCAGCTGGCTGCTTACACAAGGCATCCGGAACGAGACTGCCGGGACTCCAGCATTTCCATTCAGTGCAGCCGAGCATGCTCCTGTGTAAATAGTTTCCATATGTCATCATTACAATAAAAAACAAAAAAACAAGGAAGAAAGAGAAGGAGCATAAACTTTCCAGAGCCCAAACCTCTCCCTCTGCAAAACAAATTCCCTGCTTAGGGGAAGGAAAAACTCTCCATGGGCCGAGAGCAAACAAACTGCTCTCATTCGGAGGAGCTCATGCAGCCATGGGGGATCTCCAGGGCAGAGCTGAGAGGAGAATAAGGGACAGAAAACATCCACAGGAGGCTGGGATAAATCACCCTTCCCAGCCAGCTATTACACATCAAACTGAACTCGCTCTGGAATTCCACGGGTTTTGATGTCTGCACTTCTTTAAAGAAATAGTATTAAAAAAAAAAAATCCAACAAACTAGTAACCTCCTACAAATTCAAAGAGCTATAAACCAACCCTACAGGGCAGCTCTTCCATTTGCCTTGGAGCTCCCCCAGCCTGGCTCTCATTAGCCAGTTTGCCAGATGTTCTGCCTGCCAGACAGCACACACTTTTTATGGCCTTGCACTGAAACAAACTGAGATTCCCTCACTGGCTCACTGCCTGCCTCCAAAGCCTTTACTGGACTTACCAGGGCTTTCTCCTAAATGGTTGAGGATGGTTTGGATGGTAAGTTTCCATCCTGCCCAGATATTGTTATTTTAGCAAGTACACCCATGACGACAGAACACTGCAGAACATGTGAAGGCAGAAGTGACTTAAATGAGCAAAAAATATTCTTATTCTGTCATTCATGCTGTTCATGCATCACGTGTGGAGTCAACGTAAGATGCAATATGCAAGTTGCTTCAGTGAGTTCCATGTGTGAGTAATGTTTCTCTAGACAGGCAAAAAAAGAAATGCCAAGGACACACAACTTTGGAGACAGGACACATCTTCATTCATGTGGCCTTGCAAGGTCCCTGATCCACCAAAAGAGAGAAGAGGAAGGAAGGCACCAACTCCTGCATGGGGGAAAGGTCAAACTGTCCAGGCACATGGTCTGGGCAGTGCCAGTCACCAGTGTGTTCAAGGCTGGATGGAGCCTGGAGCAACCTGTTCTGCAAAAATGTGTCTGTTCCTTCCAATCCAAAGCATTCCATGATTTTACCATTCTACCATTCAGCTGGAGTTATTTTTTTCCAGGCTTTGCATTCCTCAGTGACATAATCCCCTCTATTTCTCACACCCTCCATCTTCACTGGATCTGTAATTCCCAAACTCAGTCACAGAGCCCAGCCAGGTATCCCACAGCACTGAACATGAGCCGATGGAAGAAGGCAGATGCCAGCAGGACCAAAGGTTCTCTTGGTGCTCCTGGATCTCCTGAGCTCACACCCAAGACCTGTCCCAGGGCAGGAGCCCTGTGCTGGCTGAGGTTTCTGCCTCTCTCAGCCACATTGCTCCCTGTGGCTGTGGTGAGGATGGACAAGGAGGAGAAGGACAGCAGTCCAGAAGCACTCCTCTCTCATGGAAAGCTCTCATCAGCTGAACACTCACTACAGAAGGTGTAAATCCATAAAAAAACATGAAATAAGGTAGATGCCTACCCTTCCCCAACACAATCTGTGCAGGCATCTTCAGTTCCAAAGTCAGATTTTAGTCAAGTATTGCAGTTGTCCCAGCACCAATGATGGCATTTTCCCTCCCAAGGGCTCACAGGCCATGCAGCTTCACCTTCAGAGGATTAATCTTCCCTTCCTCCTCCAAGGAGGCTGATAAGAAACTGCTCCTTCCAAGCACTGAGGCATGAACACACATGTGCTACTTGTCTCTTCAAGGCCAGGCTCACCTACCCCGGAGAAAAAAAGCTGGGAGCTACCTGGAAAGCACAGCTGGTCTGGCACTTGGCCACACATCTCAGAGGTGAGACAGACAGACAGACAGGGAAATCTCTGCCTTTGCTGCCTGATTGCCAGTTCAGTGCCGTGCCAACGGGAGCACTGCAGGACTGGTCCCTGCTGCCCAAAACATCCCAGTGCCTGTCCTGGTTCAGGGGACATTGTGGGAAGCAAGAGAACAGCCATGGGGAAGTCTAAACAATTTGCTGTCAGTTTGTTGCCTAGGAAAAAAGGGCATCTCCAACAGAGAGCAGTGCCAAGCCCTTCTGCTACAGGAGAAATAATCTACTTTGGAATATTTCGAGCCAGGGTAACTGAGTCATGCTCTTCCTTGGAGACAACAGCACAGCAGAAACATATGCAGAGGCCTCAGGCTCTTTGTCTTACTGTATTCTCACAGCACTCACTCGCTGTGAAGCTCAACAAATAAAGTCACTTCAGCTTCCTATTTTACGCAGGAAAGTTTTTTTAAAAAATACGGACGCTGCCACTTCCTGCGAGTGGTAAAAGGCGACTCGAGCCGCCCGTCCTCGCCTTGACTCCAGGATGCAGCAACACGAGCTCACATCCTGCCTCCAGCACCACAGGGAGCTGAGTCCTCGTGAAGGAGGAGCAGATGTCCCTCAGCATGGTAAGTCACATTTTCTGTATCACTGCCTCTTCTCGTGGTGCTCCTTCCCCGGCAGACAGCTGATGGGCAGCGCTGTTTCATCAGGGGAGCACTGCATCCTCGCTAACATCTGCACTGCACACATGGAAAACACCCCGGGCACAAATGAGCACCGTGCCAGAAGAGCTAAGGCATGGTAGGAAATGGTTTAGCCCCAGCAGAAACCCTAGCTCCATCCAGGGAGCTCTGAGTGAGGCAGAGCCAGTTAACCCTTTGCTCTGCAGCTCGGGAGAAGGGCCGTGATCATTCACTTGGATGTTCACTTCCTGCACCACCCTCCTGGGGACTGACATTTGTAAGGAAGAATTTTAAAAAAATAAAATAATTAAAGACTTCCAGGAAAATAAGGATGAGGATAATTTTCCCCATTTACAGCAGCCAAGCTCTGCTGGTTGGAGATCCTCATCTGTGCAGTTCACTGCCTCGTCTCCCCAGGACACCTGCTCTCCTCCGATCTCATCCCTGAGTCACTCCAGCTTTTTTTTCCCCCTTGAAATATTATGTGGGAAGTTTTGGCCAGGAACTGTTTGATCCTGGGACAACTTTCACTCGTGAATACATAGCAGCAAGAGGCAGAGGGGCAGATGCCTCCTTTTTGGGATGTTTGGAATCCATAATTAGGTTAGCAGGACTTCAGCAGCTGAAGATGAACTGACAGATGCAAACCACCCCCTGTCTAAACCCTGTTCCACAAAGCTGCCTCCTGACAGATGTGGGATTAAATCCTCCTGCATCTGAGAGTCCATGAAATATCACAGGGAGAGCTGGAACCAGGCACTCCTTCAAAATAAAACTGTGGAACACAGGAGTTCCTGCCTTAACAGAGCTGCCAAGTCCAATCCAAAGCATTTTTACTCAGTAAAAGTCCCACAAAATGAAAGGTTGCATTAGGAAGCTATAGTTAAGAACCTCACTTGTGTCAAGCCAAATTGCTGCTGGTATCATATCCTTTATTTCTTATCTCAACAAATGAACCACAACACCACCAAAAAGGAGAAGCCAAAGCCACAACAGAAGGATCACCTACAACTCCCATTATCCATCCTTTCAGCAGCCAATGTGCTCCATAATCTCATCAGTCTGATTGTATCACGGCAACAAAGGCTTCACACACACTGAGATAAAATGATACCATAACTGGAATTAAATATCTGAGTCATTGAGGGGCTCTGTGGAACAACTAATGAATGGAAAAAACAATTGGAAGCAGTTAAGGTTTTGCTGAACCGAACCAAAAAGGAAAAACAGAAGAGACAGCTCTGCCTAAGGCAGAGAGAGAGGCCAGATGTGAAATACACACACACACATTTCTAATTCATAATTTTTGAGGAAGTAAAGGAAAGAGACAATATCAGAGTCCCTCAGCTCTAGCATTTCTTTAACATATCCTGTTACATGAAGGAATTTCCTCTTTTTGTTCCAAAAAGGGAAACCAGTGTCTCCAGCTTTTAACACATTAAAGATCTGCTTTGGCTTCGGTAACAACACAATGTCAGCAGTTTAAGAGCATGTTCCTCATTTCAATTCTCCAAAGCAGAGCCTCTGGATTTCCCTGATGCAGTTTGGAAAGATGTTTGATTAAGCTGCAATCTGGCCTTTTAAATGAGAGCAGTGTGCTGCCAGTTCTGACTGCCAGCTCCAGCCGCCAGCAGCTCTCCAGGGAAGTCACAAAGTCAGCACTGGGAAGCAGAGGGAGCTTTGGGAGAAACCAGGATAAATTTGGGTAACAAACCTCCAGCATGGCCAAAGCAGCACTAGAATGAAGAAGGCAGCAATAAGGTATGGGCCTTACTGACCTTTTTCCCCTGAAGAAAGAGGGATAGCAGGAAAACAACATAAATTTAAAAGTTAAATAACAAACTCTCAACATCTTCCCATGACAGGCTGAGACCAATTAGAGTTATTTGCTGTGGTGCAGCAATGCTAAGGAGGTAATTGTGTTTTGTAGTGTTAGAACACGACTCCACCACGCTGACTCCTTTGAAATACAACACTGCCACATCTCCTCTGCCTTGTCCTTCACACGGGGAAGAGAAGCTGCCAACTTCAGAGGAAGACACGTGTCAAGGAGCAGGGAAAACCTCAGCCCCAAGAGCTGGGGAGCTGTTCTCCATTAGGAAAAAAGGCTTCTGCACATTTGGTGGAAACCACTGCTGGCAGCAACTGCAGGTTGCATTTAATGGCTGGAGAGGAAGGAAGGAGTTAAACCACTGATGTGACATCTGCTCAACAGCTGATTTTCCCTCAACTGGTCCTTCTTGCTTCAAGTCCTGCAGCCCTCACACAGAACCACCTCTTCAGCAAATGGACAACTTTGACTTCAAAAGTCTTCCACACACACAAAATGTCATTTGAACGCAGATTTTAGAAGAGCTACTGCTGGTTTCCCATTGTTTGCCTGGAAATCTTGGCTGGCAGGCCTGCAATCTCCTGCCTGGTGCAAAACACCTTCTGGGGCTGGAAGAAAGTCACTCTCACGGCAATGTACAG